TAAATTCACAATAATGGTAAAATTGGAAGATAATAATAAATAACTTTTCATATATTAAGAATCAAAGAATTCTTTTAGAAGGTGCCTTAAAATAGAGACCAAATAGAGTATGAATTGATTTGGAGGAATTAATTATGAGAATATAAGTCTTGAAGAAATGGAGCTTACATCTATCAATCAGTTCTTTTTGTATTTTTCCTCAACCAAGCATGTAAGTTCATGTAGATGGTTTAGATTTAGGGGTAATGAGCATCCAAGATCCTAAGCTATTGTGCTAATAGTATTTTAGACCATGAACTCTTAAAATGTGTAAAAATTTTTCTTAACTTTTAAATTCTAAGAACCTAAACTCTCATTGTTAAGTTGGAAAAAATGGCCATTGCTTTTATACTTGTGGATCCCAGTCGCATGCTGATGTGATAATCATCTTGACCTTTAAAAATGTGTGAAAACGGGTGTCCAACTTTTGATGAAATTGTTTAAAGTGTTAAAATGTGTGAGTTTGTAATTGGTGTCTAACTTTTGATTGGAGTATGAATATGAAATGAAACAAATGCCATTAGCTAGATCTCTAAAGGAGCTTTTTATAAATATCTAAATCACCTCAATTGAACGTCAGATAAAGAATTAAAGCACGTCTGAAATTGGCCTAAGGTGCTATCATTTGATAATAGCTATGTTATCACAAACTGTGTAATGCATTACGACATACAAAGCCTGCGTTGTAGTGCATGGCATAGTGAAGGGGAGTCATGGTGTGTGTGCACATAACGAAATGTATCCCCTGATTTTAGATAATTAATGTTTTTCAATTGATTTTCAAGGGTTTTGACCCTAAGATGATATCTCATGCTTCTATAGCTTGTTTCTACCTTAATTTGAACTTATTAGAAATATATTAAAGTGTTTTAAAAACTTAGAATCTAGAATCTTGAAGGAATTTGTGACCAAATTTTGAGATGTACCAATGTTGTTTTCAAATATGTCAACCATGATTAGGCAATTTGTTTAGGTTAGCCTTGTAATTATCATGGATTAGTTGTTAATTGTTGTTTAGCAAGGGCAACCTTACATGGAATGTGCAGAGAGGGGGGACAGTAGTGAGAATGGGAAGGAGAAGGGATATGAAACTTACCTAATGATAATTCAAGTTTGTATTGCCTCTAAAAAGTCTACAAGGTCAAGCCCTAGCAACCCTAAGAGCCTTGTTCATCGCCCTCTCATTTTCTCTCTTTTCCTTCCTCTGAAATTTGATGTAGCTCGCATATAGTTTATTACTGAAATTGGCCGTGCACCACGGCACATTAGGCATGTGCCATGGCACATGATATAGCAAATGCCACATGCCATATGGCCACCCACTTAAGCCTAATTGACTCGTACCCTATCTTAACTAATTTTTAAAGTTGTTCAAAAGTCAAATAACTTTATTAGTGTCCTAACAATAACATTAGTTTAAAAATCACATATTTTGACTAATTTATCCTTCTTAAACACCTAAAGTTCTAAGTTAAAAACTTAGAATGTTATAGTGTCACTGCAAGTGGGCCCCACAAACCAAACAAGTAAGCAACAAGTGGAAAAAATCAATGTTAATTTACAAAGGGGAAATTTACATCTAAATAAAAGTGTACATGAATAGAAATGCCCCACTTAATAATATAAGATATCTAACACTTTTTAAAAAATACAAGAATATTAATATATAAAGAAAGCCTTGTAACATGTTTATGGTTTTACTATAGCCTTCTATTTTGTTTACATTTTGCGAAGCACTCTTCTTTTTTTCAAGATTGGATTTCTCATGTTTTTCATTTTTCAATAAATATAACCCCATTTGGTATGCAAGCCTTAATTTAGAGGGATTGGCATTGGCATTAGCATTGGTAGTCAAAATGAAGCTTTAAAACTATATTTGGTATGGAGTAATATTTGTAGGGAATACTTACTTTTATTTTATTTTATTTTATAATTAAACATAAATTATGAAAATACTATAATACCCCTCAAAACATAAATTTAATATTTTATTTCTGTGAGATATGAGTTCTTCTGGTCCCATGGCATGAGTTCATCATTTGAGCACTCTCTTTCTTCCCTAAAAAGAGCAACCAGGGCTATGCTCCTTCCACTGCTTATCCTCATCATCTTCTTCCTCTTCTTGCTGCTCTTTTGGCCTCACCTTGTTACCGACCCGCCCTATTGTTGACCTCTCCTCTTTTTTCTTCTTTAGTTTGAAATAAGATAATGAGAATGGTGAGGATGTTGACGACGATGAGGATGATGATAGTGGTAGGATTAGGTGGCCATAGCTTGGGTTCAGACTGATTATGCAGATGACATCACCATTTGTTCTCCCCCTTCTCTCATCTTTGATCTCCTCCTTCTCCCTTCATATTTGGTAGCGGCATTGGTGGAGGAGAGATTGGCATTGACATAAGAGAGGTCGGCGTTGCTTGGTTTGAAAGGAGGGCAAAGGAGGAGAGACGGGATGGAGCTGCTGACTGAGGAGAGGGCAAAGGGAGGGAGACGACAGAGAGAGAATGGGGGCAATTTAGTCTGAAAATAATCATTCCCAAAATTGATTTTCAGTACTAAGGGTGGTGGTATTGAGTAATCTCACCTATATGGGATTAATATTGGGATTAAATTTTCCAATTTCTCGTACCAAACACGAAAAGGTGAGATTATTCCAATTTCAATCTCAGTCCCCCATTCCTTTCTACCAAACAAGGCCATGAAGTAATAAATTTTCTCGACAAAAAACTCTTGGAGCCTATGGGGCCACGTCTCTCTTAGATTTGAAAATATCATTTTAAAACAAAGAAATTAAGGTGTCATGTCGCATCCGTGTCCTCAAGAATGTACGTTTAGCCATTTGAGTTGAAGTTATGAATGTAGTTTTTAATGGAACGTGTTGTCCGGTTTCTTTTGTCTCATATATTTATTTGATGTCCTGTGTATCTCCTAGTTTAGTATGTTACCACATTTATCATGTTCTGCTTGATATTAATTATTAAGTAGTTTAACTTTAATATGGCGTAGCAGTGGAGGCAATTTATATAAGTTAATTAGCTCGATCGTAGCTGCTTGTTTCAATCAATCCTAATAAAAAACAAGTAATATATATGATTGAGTTAGGTGAAAAGAAAATACTAATTAATTGGTTTAACCCAACAAAATTTCCCATATGATAATCATGTTAGTCCAAATAAACACACAGGATCAAAAGGTCCCATAGATATAAAAGACCCAAATAATCCAGCTGAGTGGAGGGCGTAGCCAGCTGTGCATGGCTGAGATGACTTGAGAAAAATAAAACTACGCAGGACAGCTTCGTGCTTGATCTACATATTTAGATTGAGATGCCTCTCCAAACACAACAGTCGTGTGTGTGTGTGTGTGTGTGTGTGTCTTCTGATGATTGATTAGTCATGCATCTCCTATTATTTTAATGAACATGCAGAAGCCAAATTCCATTTTGGCAGGTCTGATTCATCTGCACATACGGATTATTCTTTCTTTTACTCTGAAATTTGAATTCACAGCTTTGATTATCTTCATTTATAATTTAAAAACCTTAATTAGTCCCCGTCCAACACTTGACATTGCCGCATATAAATGGGAAACTCATGTCAGGGTCTTGTTTTGGTTAATCCTTCCCCAGGTTAATATGACTAATTAAGATAGATTGTCTTTGTTCTACACCTCACTCACACACACATACACACATACATACATACACATACACATACATACACATATTAATAAACGATTCAAATGACAAGTTAATTAGCAATTTGTATCCAGCTTCGTGGAAACAACAAACTCAAAGCTATGCAAGTTGACTTTTGACAGTCTACAGAAATGTCGAAGAAAGATTATTATTTTATCAAAGAATTGCTTACTATAGGGGATTTGACCAATAAACGATTTCTTTTTTTTTTATTTGTGGCTCCTACAAACAAGAAGAAGGTCACCTTTCAATTTTCTTTCTAATGATATGACTATATATAATCAGTTTTTATTTTTTGACACACACACACAATTCAATTCGAGCAAAACGTCAGAGAACACATGCACTCTCAAATTTTACGAACATGGATAATTGGGCCTTGTGCCTTTTAACATTTGTGATCAAATCAACAATCTTCACGGGCCTTTATATGCCCAAGGATATGGGCCTAAATCAAGCATGGGTCTATAGGGTTTTTGTTTTGTTAATACATGGGTCTATAGTTTTGACCAAGCAACTGAATCCATCAATACATTCTGAAAAAACTACAGAATTTGTTGGGAAAACGAATAAACATGAAGTCAATTTATTTGGATTGGCTTTTGAATCTCGTAAGGCTTTGTGCCAAAGAATTATCTTTACCGTTTTCCTGCCAGAATTTTTTTATTCACTGGACATAAAGTTTAGGATAATGCTACGTCTAAAGCTCTACCTCGTGTTTTTTTTTTTTTTTGCTTTTCCTTTTTTATTGGACACAAGGAAAAATGTTTTAACTAAATTAGTTATTATAGACTGTATAGTTTTAACTCTCCATTACCACTAAATCTTTTAATTTATAACTATTTAATTAATCAGTTTTTATATTTTATGACTCATTACAAATCAATCTCTGAAAAAATAGAATTTTTTTTGAAAGTGTAAAGACAAATAGATTAAAGATTAAACATCTCAAACTTTAGGAACCGAACTGTAATTGAATAAAAAATATAAATATTAAATGATTAATCTTCCCTTGTTAAAATCATTCTCACTTTCATGTCTTAGCATCCACAATTTCCCAGTTGAAGTGCATATTGTAAAATAAACATGAATATGTTATCAAGGAAAAAAGAAACATTAATAATTGGGCCTACTGCTACAAAACATCCACGATCAAGTCAACAACCATCACGGGCCATTGTGTGGTTGTGACTATGGACCTTCAACTACAAAGCATACAGAAAGATCTAGATAAGGTAAAAGGATAAGAGAGAAGACGGAAACGCAACAACAACAACAACAACAACAACAAAGAGCCGGCTTAACAGTTACGACGTTAGAGGAACCAGAATCGGAAATAGTCGGGCCAGTCTCACCTGCGCTCTCACTGGGCGGGTGTGCGCCTCACCGGATTCTCCTCTCACCAATGGCATCATGCATCTGAGTGAACTACTGCAATGGGTATGTGTACACGTGTCCCTTTTGTTCCCCTGTCACGCCTCGTCCAGGTCATTGTCATAAATGTGTTTCGGTATCCCAGTCTCTTCCTCTCCAACTACCTGTTTCCTCCTCCTCATTAAGTAGCCTTCCACAAACCCCATTTTCTATTCCTTCTATCACTCGTCTCTCCTCTTCCTTGCTGTTATTGCCGAGAAAGCGTGTTGGAATCGGTGCGGTTGTGGCAGCCATGGCGGGTTCGTCTCGAGCACTGTCCTTGTTACTGGAGCTGGTGGAAGAACAGGTGCTCTCCCTTTACTTCATTCCTTTTATGGGTTTCTTCTGATTTGAGTTGTTTGACTGCGTGAAGTTTTGGAAAGGGACCAGAAAAGAACACCTTGGGGTATATGGTTTGACGATGGGTATGAGTCAAGACTCGTGTGCTGTGTGAATTTTTGTGAAACGTGAGGGTGCACTGGGGGAAAGTTGACGCCTTTTAATCGGGATTTATTAGTTGAGGGGTTGCTGTGGTTTGTGTGTTTGGGTTTTGTTGCACACAATTCTATGGTTTGTTTTTTCTTACTTTTCGATGCACTTTTAGATTCGCGCCTTAAAAATTAACAAAACTGCTGTTGCAAAAGTTGCATAAAACTCAACCTTCTGATATGTAAACCGAATGAAGCGGAGACGCTTCAAAACAGATTGAAGTGGATTGGAACTGGATGATTTTAATAATTCCTTAGGAAACTCTAGTTTAATTCAGGAAGCGAAGCTTTTTTATGTATGACTTGAAAAATCAAATGCATTAGTGGCTTAAGAAGCTGTTAAGGGGTAGAGTTGTCTGTAGAAGAATTACCTGTTCAGTGATGGTTTTGTTTTCTAGTTTGTCATGACCCTGAATACTGCCCTTGTGAGGATTCTTTAGTGCTGCCTAACTAAAAGGAATTTGCGTGAAGTGTGGCTATTGTCCCTGATTACTTTAGTGCCTTTGCAATGGTTCTTTAGCACTACCTAAAAGAAAGCTTGGATGTCCAAATAGATCATTGTCCATGATCACGAGGAGTAAGGCATTAGGATAAATGATCATATGTTTTACAGATTCTGTAATTATTAAAAATTAGAACATAACTTGTCAAACACATTAGTTACCTGTGATTAAGGGCTTGTCCAATTCACGGGTATCTTTTATGATACTTAAGTTTACAGATGCTATATAATCCTAGTCCTTTGGCTTGAAAATATTTTTGTAAGTGCATATAACAACACTAGTTTGCAGTTCATTTTCCTCCCGTGTGAAGAGGATTGCTAAAAAGTTTAATTTAGTTTTGATGTCACAATTTAAGCTGCTTAAGGATAGGGTTATGAATGTCTGGATTCACCCAATTCATCTTATACGTCTTTATAGTTATATGATTATCGTCATAATTTATAGTAGTAATGGTTGTTAGTCAAAGGCTAATGCCTTTGACGTAAACTGACAATTCTTTCTGTTGTTTCGTTGGTTACTTTTCAGGTCAAATAGTCTATAGGGAATTAAAGGAGAGGTCAGACCAATATGTTGCCAGAGGTCTAGTTAGAACAGATGAGAGTAAGCAGAAAATTGGTGGTGCAGATGATGTTTTTATTGGAGATATAAGAGATGTTGGAAGTATTGTTCCTGCAATTGAAGGTATAGATGCTCTCATAATTCTCACAAGTGCTGCTCCACTAATGAAGCCAGGCTTTGATCCAACCAAAGGCGGAAGGCCCGAGTTTTATTTTGATGATGGGGCGTACCCTGAACAGGTACGTTACATAGTTCCTATGTTACATGTTAAGTACTTAGTTATCTTTATCTGGCTTTACTCATATTATTCTGTATTTCTGCATGTTAGGTTGACTGGATTGGGCAGAAAAATCAAATAGATGCTGGCAAGAAAATTTTCTTCCTTTCCTTAAATTCTAATACAACGTTATGAACTCATTGATGCTTGTGATATTGAAATTCTATTTTCTATTTGAGCAGCTAAGGCTGCTGGAGTGAAGCAAATTGTGTTGGTTGGGTCAATGGGTGGCACGAATCCAGACCATCCTTTGAACAAATTGGGTAATGGAAATATACTGGTCTGTACTAACTTCTCTCTAACTCTTTAAATTACCTCCTTTTGTGGCATTCATATCTTGCTTTCGTACGAACAAGCATACCTCTCATTTTGAGAAACCAAGTTTATTAAAATATTGATTCTTTTCTTCCCTCTATTATTCTATTTGTTTCCTTTTTATTAAAAAAAATCTTTTGCTTATATATATTGCAGGTTTGGAAGAGAAAGGCTGAGCAGTATCTGGTTGATTCTGGTATTCCATACACAATTATAAGGTGCTTAATTTTCCTGTCAACGCTAGGTTTATTTATAAAATGAAAATTAAAATCATGAGTAACGTTGTTACTGAATGTGCTCCTAGCCTCCTGCTATGTGAAAAGACTGGTTGAAATATATTAAAGTTAATTTAGGGATGAGGCTTTTTGCAATTGGTAGAAATATATTTCTAGGCGTGTATTTTACTTTAATACTTCGGTCTCTAAATATAAGTCCTAATATTGAAAAACACACAAACTAAGGAGATACCAAAATCTATGTATTATGTAAAATTAGTCTTTCCTTTTTATCTTTTACTCGCTATTTAATTCCATGCGAAAGAGTGTGTCTACTTATAAAAATTCAAGGGTGGTTAGGAAATTTATATTTTCTATCAGGGGTAATTTTTAAAAATAAGTGTTAATTATACCTAGAAATTTGTATTATGGCTTATATTTAGGGATTAAAGGAATGTGATACTCAGGACTTATATTTAGGGATGGAGGAAATATGATTGGTGATATTATGTAATCACTCATTTGGTTTTATACATGCCACAGTCAAGTCTCATTTTCTGGTTACCAAGCCTGGCTTATGTTATAGTGAGATTGTGTCTGCTTTCTTATCGTCACATTCTGTTCTGAACCAGAGCTGGTGGCTTGCAAGATAAAGATGGCGGTCTTCGAGAACTAATCACAGGGAAGGATGATGAGCTTCTTCAGACAGAAACTAGAGCCATACCTAGAGCTGATGTTGCAGAAGTCTGCATTCAGGTATCTTTTATGTGGGACTTGGTGAGATAATGAGATGCCGATACATATTCTCTACTCCCCTAAGAAAGAACCCACTCCAGAAGAAAGAAATGCTGCAAGCATCTTTGATTCTTGATTTCAAAAACAGTTCTTTGCTAATATTTTTCAAAGTTTGTTTCCACCTTCAGAAACTGAGAATAGAAAAAACAAATCTTATTTTCTGTTTTCTGAATTCCCACATGAAAAGCATAAATAAAGTGCCTTTTTTATATGATGTAGCGTTGGCTTGAATTTAAAGCTTCTTGCTTTGAAAGCTGTTTCATAAGTGTCAAACAGCTGTGTTCATAAACAAAAACAAAATGAAACAGGCCCCATTTTTTTCTTTTGCTTTCTTTTTGATTTGTGTAAGTGGTTGTAAAGAGACTCTTGAAGATAGCTAAACCAGGCCAATCATATCCGATACACAGTTCATTGTAACTTTAACATGTTCTCATGTCATGCTAATAATTGAGCGTGTTCAATAAATCGAGTCTTGTGAAAAAAAAATCTCTCATGGCTGCATCAGATAGGGATGTGATGATTCATTTGGTTGAATAGGCACTAAAGTTTGAGGAGGCTAAGTTCAAGGCATTTGACTTGGCATCAAAACCAGAGGAAACAGGCGCACCCACAAAGGACTTCAAGGCTTTGTTTTCTCAGATCACCACTCGCTTTTGATTTTCAAGTTCATCATTCTGAATCATCCCATTCTGCAAGTTCCTTTATGATGGATTTTGTTGTCATTTGTTGTACCTAAAGCAGCGTACGTTTGCTTCATCACTCGCAGCCTGGTAAAAGATTGTTTCATCCTCAAGAAAACTTTATTGGATCCGTCGATTCCTTTGCTTCATCATAATGATGTGGCTTGTATGCTCTCAATCTTAAGAAACCTTTAAATCATATTGTTTATGATTCATCGATGGCGTGATATATTTTTAGGCGAGAACAGTAGTCAAGTTGTCATGAAAGGTAGCTTTGGTGACTGATTAATCACGTTGGATCAAGCTTTTCCTTCATAAGTTACTTGTCATAGTTGCTGATTAACTCATTGCTGCACCGTTTGGAGATTTCATTTTATTGTAGACACATCAACCTAGCCTACTAAAGTTAAAATGTGACATTATTTTCAAATTGAACATTAATTATCTAATAAATAAAAATGACACAGGAGTTAATGCCCTCGGATATAAAGGAACAAAAAATATGTAGTTAGCCGCTTTTGGGCATGGTTGGGAGGGATAGAATGTGAGTTGAAGACAAATGTTTGTAGTCTTCCAATGTAACCAAAGAAAAAGTCAATACTTATGATAGAAAATAGGGTTAAATGGTAATTTAGATTTTGAACTATAGGTTTACAAATGATTTGAAATCTAAACCCATTTTTGAGACATTTGAACACCTGAAAAAAATTACATTTGGACAATCCGGACCTTGCTATTAATACGGAGTTAACTCCGTTACTTTAAAGCCCCTATCTTCTCTTGAGTACGCGACAAGGATGGGATAGACTTGCAATCATCACCGGCGACTAGCAATGACATCGTTGGGATTGGGGTTGAGGGGTGGACAGGGTGAGACCATCACAGCAAGGGCTGTGCTGCCAAGGGACTCATTAGAAAGACCAGACTGGAATAAGTCCATGTCAAAGCATGCATCTAAAGGTTCTGTCCCATCAGAAAGACCAGATCCGACTAGCTGGCCGATTGAGATCATTCTCATTCCTGGTTGACACCTCTTAAGGTCTTGGCTTCTAGCCCCTCAAACGTGTTCACCAGCACTGTGGGATTGGGTTCTCGTCGAAGGACTTGGAAATCCTCTGGCCGATGATGTTACAGCGAAATCCTCAAACGACGGGAGCTCTTGCGATTCTATTTTATGGCAGCGACCTCGGCTGTTCTGTTGAAATCGAGTTCTCTTCGAGTTTGTTCTTGATGTACCTGTCGTCTTTGAAGTACTAATAGTAGATGCTGAAAACCGTAGCGGGTTGGATCCACAACAGGGCTGATGGAAGGTGAAGTTGACGTGCCACCTCTGCTCTGCTGCACAGGGAGGAAACAAAGCGTGCATGGCCACCATTGTGTTTGACAAGGCATGAGAATGGAGAGAAACTCCGAGCAATGAATGACTTTGAGATTGTGTCCTAATTCCTAATTCAAGGGAAACTCCGTTTCCCTTCATTAATGTTGGGGTGGGAAGTAGTCAGGTCTGGTGGTGGGTCGTGCAAGCAAAAGGGGTTGCCATTCATTGAAGAGAGAGGAATTCAGCAGAGGGGGAGACAGAGGAAGATGGAAAGGGAGAGGGGTTTTAAAGTAATGGAGTTAGCTCCAAATTAACGGCAACGTCCATATCCCTTGAAATGTTATTGTTCAAATTAAAATGTATTAAAAACGAATTCAAGATTTAAATTGTTATTTAACCCTAGAAAATAATCACATAGAAACCTAACTAAAAAGTTGCCCACCTTTTTGTTTTTAGAAATCTATATACTTTTTAAGAATAAATGATGTGACATCATCAAAATTCAAAGAAAATTATATAATTAACTAACAAATTCAAATTTATTGTAGCTTCACTTTCATAGCCTAAATTGCAGCTTTGATAAATGAGCAATTGGCATGGTTTCCCCATCATATCATTTTAAAAAAATGATAATAATTTTTTTAAATTATATAAATGACATTTTAATCCCTTCAAATATCATAATTTTTTTAAAATTTTTAAAAAATTTAATGTTATTAAGAAATTAATATAAATGACTAAATTACTCTTAATTCAAATATCAATTACCATTCACAAGTTTTATTCTAAGATTTATAACTTTTTTTAAAATCGTAAGAATTCAACTATAATTCACAATTTCGTATTTGAATTCCTGATATTCTTCAAGTATTGCAAATATCAATTAAAGATAATTTAATCATTTATATTAATTTTTTAATGATAAAAAAGTCTCTAAAAATTTTAGAGAAATTATAGTATTTCGAGAAACTAAAATCTCATTTATATAATTTAAAAAAATTTTATTATTATTTTTCCTGTATTTTCTTCATTTCCTGACGAATCATTTTAAAGGAAGTTGGGGATATAAAATGCAATCTGATTCTTTTGATTTTTTGGAGCAACTAATCACATTTTATATAATTTAAAAGAATTTTATCATTATTTTTTCTATACCTTCTTCGTTTCTTGACTAATCATTTTAAAGGAAGTTGGGAATATAAAATGCGATCTCATTCTTTTGACTTTTTTGGGGCAACTAAACACATTCTATATAATTTAAAGAAATTTTATTATTATTTTTTTATATTTTTTTCATTTCTTGACGAATCATTTTAAAGGAAGTTGGGAATATAAATGCAATGTCATTCTTTGGACTTTTTGGGGCAACTAATTACATTCCATACTAGAGGACCACCGCCATGAACATTCCCCATTACTTAGGAACTCCTGAGAAGCATCAGAATTTTTTTTTTTTTAACTTTCTCTTTTATTTGGTCCACCCAACCCGTCCTTGTCTTCTAGTATTTTTCTATGCTCTGCCTTTTTAACAAGGAGTCGATATATTTCTTTTCTTTTCTTTTTTTCAATCTTATCTTCTGCATTACAGCTAGATGCTGATTTGTTTTTATAATAGAAAATAATGAAAAAATAAAAAGAATACTTGATAGAAATTTTTTACATCAACTAAACGGGTGTTTGAACTTTGAATCTTCATAAAAATTATGATTTAAAATTCATAATTAATTTTAGCATATAATAAAAATGTTTGGATATATTTTTTTTGTAACATCTGAAAAAAATTGACCCCTAATTATTTGGATAAATGAGGTTAATTTTGTAAATTAATATGGTGTGTAGTTACAAAGAGCTAACATGTGCTTTGGATTGTCGTTTCAATTCTGGGATTGAGTCTGGAGTGAGATCAGGTCACTCAGACATGAAAAAGTGAGAAAAATAAAGAGAAATAGCTCTGTGTCATATGACGTGGCGGGTGCACATGATGCTGTGGTGCATGAGCCATCAGAAGGCAACAACATCCTCTTTATATCACATGCCGCAGTGTATAGAAACAAAATTTACATAAATAAGAGCATATCAAATGTGAAAAATAGAGAGCAAGCAAAAGAAAAACAAAGGAAAAACGAAAGAGCTCCGTTAGGGCTTGAGGGATTGAAGCTTTGGGAATATTTTAGAGCTTTTAAACATTAGAGGTAAGGTTCCTAGGATCTTTTCCTCTCTTCCTCTTACATTTTCTTGATGTTAAGAGCTAGGATTTAGCTGAGGAAGATGATTTTCAGTCCATAGAAGTTATGAGCCCGAACCTATTGACTTAAATAGAGTTAACGAAAGTTATTTAAGTTATTTAAACGAGCATTAATGACTTTATGTCTTTTTAGTAATTGGAAGCTATAAATGCACGAAAATCTCCATAAATGAGGTAGATGGAGTAATATGGCTCCATTAATGGTTGTTAGGAGTTCAATGAAGTTAATTTGAGTTAGAAAAAGCTAATAAACCTTATGAGTACTTTTGTAATTGAGGAGATTGAATTTTAAAAGTGAAGAAGTGTTAAATTAAATAGTGAGGATTATCCAAAAAGAGATATTGATGATTAATATTGTGATTAAATGTAGAGTCAGCATATTTGGTACTATTCAAGCTTCGTGAAACTTTGGAAGTGTAAATCTAAGGGATAAACTTTTGACCTCTTAAATGTTTGAGGTAACCGTAAAAATTCTTTCTCATGTTTTTATGTGTTAATTGATTTATTAATTTTTACTTGATAATCGAAGTGTGTGAAATTGAATGAAATGCAATTGTGGCATGAATTACTTGAAAATTCACTATAATAATTTTGTAAAGTTCAATGATATTATACATGCAAAATTCTATGAAACATTATCAGTATAGTCCTATGACATGGTTCCTTTAAAGTTCAATGATGTGATTTGTTAATGGAATTCAATGATTATATGTAAAGTGGAGTTCAATGACCTAATGTGTGAAAAGTTTGATGAAATTGTGTTTGTGAAGTTCTATGATATGTTGTTTGTGAAGTTCAACGAATATGTGTAGTGAGGAGTTTGACGATATAAAGTAAAATGGAGTTCAATGACTTAGTTATATGTGTCTATGTGATGTTCAAGTATAAGCTGAGTATAATGATGGTATTATGCATGCCTATATTTTGAGTGATCGCATGCTTTGAAATGTTGCATTGTTATGCACTACATAATCATGAGAGGTGGGAGTTCACCTAAAAAAAGTAGAGAATTAAAATCCACATGGTAAGGCTACCATTGAAGCTCGATGGTTTGCTTGAATTTATTTATATTTATTATCTCACTTATTTGATGAGAGATTGTCCTACTTGCTCAATGAATGATTCAAACCTAACTAGTTTTTTATTTGTTCAATGAGAAAACTAGTCTAAGAAAAATGACACCTCATGATGTGAGAGTTGGGAAAAATTGTGAACTATAAGTAAGATAGGTGACCTTAGCCATTTAGCCCCTTACGCGTGAATGGCTATGGTAGTCTCAGTTTCATAGACGATCCTAGTGTGTTATAACTATAATTTCATGTCAGAGGCATAAAAGGGATATAAGGGAGGTATGATCATGCTTATAATAATAAAAAAGTACATGGTTATCTATGCTGTGATCCTAGTGATGAAAATCATGTGATTAGCCTTATATCTATGTGAAATTGTGTTGCAAGTCATTATCTCATGAGTACATATTACTATGAATGAAAAATGTGAATAATGTTTCTTAAACATGTTACATGATTTGAAAATGATATTTTTGCCACTTACATTTAAATTGATTAACATACGTTAATATAAGTTAAATGAACTTTAGTTACTGAGTGATTGTATTCACTCCTTTCTCTTCAATATTATAGGAATTAACTCATTGAGACACTATTGTGAGAAACAAACTAAGGCTTAGGATTTTGATCCTAAAAGTAGTAGGCCTCATTTATTTTCATTATTGTCATGTGTATAATTCAAATGATATTCCTAATTAAGGTTGTCCATGTTTTTGGGCTTACTTACACTGAGAAGTTGTTAAACTATGGTATATTTTGAGCCCTAGAGTGTGTATGTACTAATTGTGAAATTTATTGCAAGATCAAAATTCTAGTGCAAGTAGGAAGTTAGTGAGATTGTGATTATTGTGGAATGAGATGATGATTTATGAATTTAAGGCTCCCTTTCTATTTTTATTATTAGGGGGTTAAGCATTGAAAAAGAGTTTTATATGTGTTGTTAGTTATGTGGTGTATTGCACAAGTTTGAAATAGTCTATTGAATATGGTCTGAGTTGTATTTGAAGCTTTTGAAACTTGGTATGAAATTAAAACACCCAAGTTGTGTTTAAGTGATATAAAGAGTGAGTTGTAAAATGAGCGTTCAATTTTTGACTAAAAAATGAATTAATTTTGAAACTAATGTCATTAGCTAAATTTAGGAAAAAGCTTTCTGTAGACACTTAGATCATCACAATTAAACGTTAGATAGAGAAATAAGACATGTTGAAAGTTCGCCCCTGCTACTATCAAATGATAATAGGAATGCTGTCAAAATTATGTAATGCATCGTAGCACATGACATAGAGGCGTACAAGCCATAGTGCATGTATAATAAGCCACAGCGCATGTGTGCTTTTTTACACAGTTTTTGTTAGTTTCATATTTTATGCAAATACTTTAATTTGTGAGCAATCCCAAGTTTCTACATACATCAAATTATTTTGATTTTAAATTGTAAAGGTTTATTGTGATGTTTTGATGTTAAAAAACTTGTGATCCCTATTTTATAAAACTTATACACTTGGTAATCATTTTTTAAATAACCCCTCAATTACTTTAAAAATTAAAGTTAATTGAAAAATGATAAGTGAGACCTTTCATTTTTCAATTGCACTCAATCAATTTTAAAAACCAATTACTACAAAACATAATCAATTATATTTGAAGTCAATTATATATATATATATATATATAAAAATTTATCCTACATTAATCCAAACCATCCTGACCCTTTGACTATTTTCCGTAAAGCAAACACAATGTTTGGTAAGTAAAAAAGTGTTTTGTGAAAAAAAAAAATGATAATGCATTTATTTCATTTTCTTTCTACATATATTCTCCAATTTTTTTTTCCAGACAATACTTTTCTGTGAACTATAAACGTATGCTAAATAGAACGAAGCTTAATTTCGTAGCAAGCATCAGAAACCTAGATTTGATTTTGCGAGATGAAAATCACCGAGTGACATCTTCATTGAATGGGCTACTCCAATTACAAACTCCCTCGATGATCTCTCCGCATATTTTGTCAAATTCAGTCATATAACCTAAGACTATCCGAATTTGTCAGGCTGAGGCAGGCCTCCAACAAGAAAGTGCATAGATGATTCGTCCTTTCCAACCTTGTAACAACCACTTGCTGTCTTCATCAATGAGAAAATCCTTGTGGTAGCTACTCCTTACTTTATCCATGGCCCTCTCCACTAGGCTCCGCGAAAAAGGAATCTGTGTAAAACCTGCCCTGAGAACACGAGCTTGCCACTGCTTATATGTCTCTGGTCTCTCTGTTCTCTCGATTCCCTCGCACGCTATCACGTTCAATGCTTCTCTCCCAAATATCTCCTTCTCGATCAGCATTCTCTCCCAGTCCTCTCGAGGCACTATAGTTTCCAACATGTCAAACAGTGATGAGTAGTGAAACAATGCTTCCCTGAACCTGGTAACGAAGAAAGGAGCATTGAATGCCCCGTTGATGATCCCGTGAATGAATATGTCCGGGTTGATCTTCCTCACCAGATTCAGGAATGCATTCCTTGGACTGTCCACAGCTACAGATTCATCCAGCAGGTTCTTTGCCGTATATAAACAGTTAACAACCAGGAACTCGTCCCTATCAACCTTGAGTTCCTCCAGCTGAATAGTTTCCCATTTCTTTGCTATGGCAACGTACTCAAATGGAACATTGAAAGCTTTTGCATAATCTGCTAACCGCCTTCCTGTTTCTTCTATTCTCTCAGCTGGCCTGAAACCAGGTTGTGGGAAGTCTATTCCCGAGATTCGAATTTTTGGCGGGTGTCCTCCTGATCTCATTGCCAATCTCTGTATGAAAGTTGGCCACTGGAAACCATAATGAATACCAAAATCTATAATATGGACCCTCGTTGTATTCTCTGATGCTGTCCTTATTGTGACGTTTGACAAAAAATTAGATATCTTCCTAAAAGGGCATGCAGCCAGGTAGAGATGATAGGCTTTCAGTAGATCAGCGGCTGACCTTTTCTTATTGACAAGTCCTTTATAAATCTGGCTCCCAGTGCCGGCCAAGCGTGCATCAAGTCCATCAGCAAAGACATGTGCCAGCCTTTGATTTCCATCACCGAAAGGATTTGAGTGCTGCCTGATTTGCTTTAATAACTCTTGTGCATTCTTGTAATCATCTGCTGCAACAGCTTGTGCACACAGAACCAGAAGTGTTCTCAAATCCACCACTGCCTTTCTCCCATTTTGTTTCTTCCCACGCCCCTTCCCAGCGTTTGAAGCTTTGGCTTGACCATTTGGCACCCCTGCCTTGGTAGTCTTGTTCTGCAACGCTTCACGGCGGGCCATGTAATGGTTCCTACCTTCCCCAGCAGTGTAAAGAAGCACTAGATCAAACATCACTGAACGCAACGTTGGTTCTGTATAAACTGCTGCTTGCTTGCTACTCTTTTCTTCACCATCTTCCTCTCCCCTGTGTGGCTGCTTTCTTACCTTCGACCCACCATGAAAATAGTCCCTTTCATCTTTCTCCACTTTTGCTGATATTTCATGAGTCCCTGCTTTTGGTTCTTCTGGTGATAGATCACACACACCTAAATCAGCAAAAAGCTTGTTTCCATTTGGAAGAAACCTACTAGCCTCCTCGACACCTTTTTTAAATTGTGAAATGGATTGGCTCTCGCTGTTCAGATCCGGAACTTGAAGAATGCTGCTCGGAGAATCCACAGGCCCTTCCACAACACTGCTTGAAGAGCTGTAAGACGACTGGGAAATGCTACTACCTAGGATAAGTTGCGAGGGAAACTCATTACGGTTTTGAGCCAAGGAATGATGAATGGAAGTTCCGTTGGAATTACCATTGTTATTACTGTGACAATCACTGTAATTTCTGGGGAAATTATTTCCCATGCCCCCACCATTTTCATTGATCATATGACTCGGATGATTTTGTGCTGGTGAAGGTGGATATTTTTCACCCAATGCTTCATAGAATGATTTCTCAGCTGCTTGAAGATCCAGAGAATCCTGAAGCATGCACGTCTTATCTTCCATGTCTTCTTCCATAAGGATCTGATTTATGTAACTCAAAACAGCATCGGAGAAATCACAGTCTTCTGGAGAATGCTCCTCAAGGGTTACGGTAGAGGAAGAAGGCGTATTAACCGGTAATTGATCAGATTGCGGGAAATGAAATTCCCTTCTACGATCAAAGAAGGCATTTTCAAAACTCTGATTCTGCTTCAGAATTGGTACAGATCGATTTCCCAATCGCTGTTCACTTCTGGAATCGGTAAAGCCCCGAAGACCCTGATCCATTGTCATCTATTTTCCAAGATTCCGCAAAAACCCAAGCTTTAGTCCTACACACTGTTCAAAATCCCCCCTTTGTCGTCCTTCTTCCAGAAAGAAAAATCTTTTGAACCCACAGAGCCAATGATACACTCAGAGAATCCACGGCACGTGAATCATGAGGTGCACAGGAACAAACTTCAAATCATTGCACACAAAGAGATGGAGAAAATAAGAAATCGATACACAAATTTCACCAAATTCATCAAACTATTAAAGAAAGCGGAAGAAAATAGCAGCGAGTTTCCACATTAGGTGAGGCATCAGAGAACTTAATTTACAACAGTAAACTCAAAAAAAATTAATTTGAAGAGAGAAATGGATCCAAACAGAGGGAGGAGATGAATATTCGTGCAAGTACAGAGATGAATCAGGAAAGAGCAAAAGGGAAGGAGAAAGGAGACTTTACCTCTGACGAGAGAAAGACTCGAGTCCTTCAGGCGGTAACAGCAACAGCAAAAGAAGAGTACGAGAAAGACCAAAAGCGAATATGGGCGCTTGCGAGTTGAGTAACTATGAGGCTGCGTGGTCTGTCTGGTCTGAGACGTTGTTTCAGGGAGAGAGACTTGACCACCGGCTATAGGCTGTCCAAAACATGAAAAGTGACCGGTTAATAATGTTATGACCTTTTGCTATTTATTAATGCCTCTCTTCAATGATTCTTTCTTTAATTTATTGGAAGTGAAGGTCTTCAGTACACCGCTTCATCATGGCACCACGACCTCCCCAAGCTAAGACAGAGTAACACGTGTTTTCTAAAAATGTACGACTCGCAGGTTTTCAATATCATTATCTTGTTACCCGTGGGATAGTCTCGCCTTGCAATTTTTTTTTTTTTCTTTTTACCTGACAAATTTGGTTTATTTTAAAGTTAAGCATCGAGAAACACTTTAGGAGATCTTGAGGATTTTTTTAAGGACGGGAAGTAATGAGTTAGAAAGATGATAACAATTTTTTTTTAAATATACAAATAATAATTTAACCTTTTAAAAGTTTATAATTTTTCTAAAATTTTTAAGAATTTTTCTATCAATAATAAACTTATGTAATTGTTCTTATTGAACATAAATAATTCAAACAGATTAATTTGAAGATCCACAAAATTTTTAAGAATTTTTTTATCAATAATAAATTTATGTAATTGAATTAATTATTCTTATTAAACATAAATGATTAGCAATTTTTTTTCTTAAATTCACAACAATGCAACAGCAAATTGTTGTGAATATAAGAAGAAAAGTTGTAAATATAAAAAAGATATTTGTGATCATTTATGTTTAACAAGGATAATTTGATAACTTATATAAACTTATTAATGACAGAAATGTCTTCAAGAATTTCAGAAAAATTATAACATTTTAATGAATTAAATTATTATTTAAATATTTTAAAAGGATTTTGTTGTTATTTTCCCTAATAAGTTTCATCCATACTCAAACTATGATTCTCTTGTATGACCGCCTCTCCCTTTAAATGCATATGCTAACTTTAGTTTCATTTATAAGACACATTTATAACCTATTGTGTGGCTTTTTAAATAATATTTAAAATATATTTTTAAAATTACTCTTTTTAAGATAAAGAAAGTAATATAGTATCATTTTTTAAATTTGTTATATATGACCATATTTAAAATTCTACACACTTTTATTCTTTTTATTTTTTTTATTGATATTGATAAGATTGATAGAAATGACTTATAAAGAATATTAGAGAAATATGGCCTACTAGTAAAGTAAATAATAGTAGGATTTTGATCAATTTTATTTATAAGTCACATTTTAAAAGGATTATTTGATTCTATTTATAAATCACAGTGTAATTTTTTTAAAAAATATCTAAAAGATATTTTTTTAAAAAAAATAAAATGATATTACTCTTTAGATTTATTATGTAATGATATTTAAAAGTTTGCATATTTTTATTTTTTTTATATTGATATTGATAAAATTAAGAATAAATAATTTATAAAAAACGTCGGATCAACATATATTAAATAGAGGAGTGAGAAGCAACAGGCAAATGTTGTGGTGGAAGTAGCGGAGGATGGAGCAGAACAGTGACATGTGGGTGCGAACGGAACAGGGCAAGAAGATAGAGGGGGGGGGGGGGCGCAAAAGGGCGGCGAGTCTCAGGTTGTCCCTTAGATGTGATGTCATGTCAGCAGGCCAGTGGCGGATAACTTATTTCTTCGCCATGTGCTCTCTATCATCTCATCTCATCCTTTTTTTTTTTTTTTTGAAATCAAGTGAAAGTTGCATACCATATACCCAGTGGCGGATCCAGAGCATCACTCTATGGGGGGGCCAAAATGAAAACATTCATGGAGGGGTGATTAAATTTTGGATAAAGTAACAAATTTGATCACAAATTATCTTTCGAGAAGTATTTGATAGCCTAAACTATTAAATGATACAAAATAAATCATCAATTTTTAAAAATGGAGCATTCAATAGCCCTTTGTTAACTTAAGTTAACAGATGTTATGTGGAACCCACAATAACATGTGGCACAACATAGACGCGACACGTTAGCATTGTAAAGGTGTAAATTTAACCATGAACTATTTTTCTAAGAGCATTAGGTAGCCTTTACTATAAAAAAAAATAAATCATCTAACACCTTCCCCTCAATTTTGATCAAACACCATTTATTTTCATACTTATGAGGCCCATAAAGCATTAATTTCTCCAATCTTCTTGCCTTCGTTCTCAATATAAACTCCAAAAGAAGAGATTCAATGACTTTTTATCTAAAGACTAAGGACGATGCCAATGAAGTAGAAGCTTGATTTTACTATGTATGATAAAAGCTTGATTCTAGCTTAATTTAGTCACGAATTATTTCTTCTACTTTGTTAGCATCATCTTTGTGAATATCTTCAAATAAAAACTATTTGAACCTCTTCTTTTTGAGTTGACATGGAGAACGAAGGTAAGAAGATAGAGTGATCAATGCTTTATGGACCTCATGAGTATGAAAATAAACGGTGTTTGATCAAAATTGAGAGAAATGTATTCGATGATCCTTTTTTTTATAGTAGAAGCTACCCAGCGCTTCTTAAAAAATAGCCCGTCGCTTAATTTACACATTTATCATGCTGACATGGCGCGCTCGTATTGTGCCACGTGTTATTGTATGCCCGACATAAGGTCCATTAGCTGAAATTAACAGCGAGCCACTGGATGTTCTATTTTTGAAAGTTCATGATTTATTTTACACCATCTAATAGTTTAGGCTATTAGATGCTCTTCGAAAAATAGTTTATGGTCAAATTTATACTATTATCCTTAAATTTTTTATTTTTCCCATGTAAAAAGGTATGAAATTTATTAAAAAAAAATTCACTTTTGGGGGGGGGGGGAACAGGGCACTCTAGATCCGGCCCTGCATATACCAATTTTGTGAAAAATGGGTTGATCCAAATGCTTTTACTATTACACATCCCGTCCCATTACGTTAAAAGAATCCAATTTTTTTACTCGCAATGAATGATGCAGGGACTGAGCACCATGCGCATCATTAAAAAGAATAGGGCGTCAGGATTTGGTAGAAAGCACCAGGCTGATGGACTTTGATTTTAGTGATTCAATGTCGGCTACAAAAAGATTATGTGTCGTCAAATCGTAAAAGCAAAAACCCTCTTATTGTTAACATTAGATAATTAAACATATCGGTGGCAATTTATCTACTGCACCACGAGCTGGTTGAAATTGTAGGCAGGGTCACTCCCCTGATTTTTGTCGTTTTGTACAACAGCCTACAACAGTGCCTAACCTCTGCTGCTTTACTTAAATTCATCTCATGTTTTTCTTCTTGAACCGTAAAACTAGCCAGTAACACCAGACCCAGTAACTTGCTGGCTTAAGGCACTCATGATTTCCCTTCAATTTCATAATGGAAATTTACAAGATTAATGCCAAATTTTTCTATGAAAAATAGAAACGGTAGGCGCAATTAAGGGTAAGATAATGATTCAGGGAATAAATTAAAGGAAACGATATGTGAAGAGAGATTCCTTGACATCTTTCAGATAATGATATAATTTGCAGGGAGAAGAAAATAATCATACTAAATTTCTATACCAATTTCATCATTCTAGTCTCCTCCGGCCAGTGTCCCAGTAATTGAAGAGAACACAAAGGAAACCTTACAAGCACAACCAACCATTTACAAATTCCCAAACCCTTCTTGAGCTCTCGGAGGAGCCTAGCTGTTATGCGGATCACAAGCATGTGATGTGAGCATATTATATAAATTAAATTTACATAGGATCAAACTTTTACATAACTACAGCATCTGAAACGTCTTCCAAAATCTTTGTGTTGCTCAGTGTTCTTCAGCATTGAGGAAAAGGCTCAAAGAGGCTTGACTTGATGCTTACATTGCTGTTGAGACCAATAAGCATGAGCAGCTAAGACTCTGTCCAAAAGCTCCTGAGGAACAGGTTCTCCTCTCCTTTGCTGAGGGGAGATTCTTGCAGTGTGCACTAATGTCTTCCACTTATCCTGCACTATTCCCATTAGTAACGACAAATGAAAGTATTTTCAATACTTCTTAACTGCAATCAAATCAGTTTGCTCCTTTATGAAGTTCCCACGTAAAAATACAGAAGGTAAAAAAAAAAAATCCTGGCACATATCAGATTCGCATATTAAATGCAGATATGACACTTTCTATCATGCATAGATACTTCAGATTTTGCCACGTGGCAATATCTGTGTCTGTCTAAATTAGTATCGATGCTTCCTACTCGCCCTCTCTGTATGTATCCATGTGTGGGCTGGAAGGCTAATCATAGCACTAAAGAAGTTTGATAACACAGACAAGCGAAATAAAAGACGGACAAAACTTAAGCCTTATGGTGCTAACGTGTGCATGGGATGATAGAATCAACACGTTGGGAAGAAGCGCATGCAAATTGAGATATTTTTATCTCTCATGGATGGTGATTTTAACACCAATAAAGATTTTAAGTTATGAAAGTATAGACATCATACAGTATATGGATCACTGACCTTCAAATCCACATAAGTCCTGTGCTTCGCATTGTCAAAAGCACACTGTTTGACATCACGCCATCTGCCAACAAGAGAAGAAAATACTTCAGTGCTCAGTGCCCTGTGTGAATCATCACTACTTATTAAGCGACAGAAAAAGGTTCAACAAACACCTTCCAGTTCCAAGTTTTTCAACTGCCTGAACCAGTGCTTCTACTTCAGACACAGAGAAAGGCCTCCTGATTCGACGCTGCACAAAGTCAGGGTTTCCAGGCTTACGACGGAAGGGAATGACAGCTAACGCTTCCATGTTAATGGCTGGAACTGCAACCAGAGCACGACACTTTGACACAGTATTGTTAGGGGAAGTATCTGCTAGAGAGGGAACCACGTTTAGGTCACCTCCACCACAACTTTCAAATTTAATCAGGGAATGCTCTTGGGAGACATTATAAGTTCTTTGTTGTAGCATCAAAGATGTAGGTTTCCTGTTGTAGGAAGATGATCAAATAAAAAACTGCTGATAAAATTACCAGATTCTCACACGAGGGAAAATCAGCGATGCTATGGGCAAAAGGGTGTAAAAAATAGACAACAAATAAATGAACACTTGGTTGAATTTATGCCTGGATATATCCCGATGCGAAATAGTGGTTCGAAAATAAGGGTCTTCGTTATATGAAGGTGAAATCTTAGTATGTCTTGGCTCCAACATGAATCCCAATCTATGGTGTTTATCATCTTGCGAAATCCCAGTCTGAATTAGAGTTTTGCTGTCATCTTGGACCTTCTTTCCCTGAAGAAGAATACCTACATGTAGTTCATCTCCTAAAATAGTTGTCACTGCCTCCATAACTGTCCTCTGCAAATAGACACGAAAACAAAGGAATCAGTAAAAGAAATCAAGGGAAAACTTCAGACAACCCACCCAGCAACCTCGTACTTTTTTGTGAGCAATAGGGAAAGGGTAACAGAATATTTATTTGATAACCAATGCATTTTTATAGATGACTATTATCCAAGTAATAAGACTACTAAAACCATGCAAAAAATCATAGATCCCCCATAAAGAGTTATTTGGTACCCCTTCATCTTGATCCAGATATCTTGAATGCAAGCTGACACACAAGGTTTATTTGAACCACTGGTATCCAAAATGACTTCCTTAACTTGCATTGAATACCACTTGTATTCTTTCTATAATACTTTTCCATTATCAAAACAGCCATGACATCTTAAATACCGTGATATTCATATACCTTAGACACTATATCATAGTATCCAGGACGCCATGAAAAAAGTAGATGGATCAGATCAGATAATTACTCTCAAGTCTTTCTCAGAAATAATTCTAATCACATACCTTTAATGAACCAATAGTTGCAGTTTCAGGTATATCAATAAAAAGCTCTGGAACTTTAAAAGATTTTATGCTAAGCTTCACTGAAAAGTAAGGAATGAAAACCATGTAAGAACCTCACACAACAAGATGGCAGGATCAACAGGTATCAGATAAATCATTTCAACAGTTTTCCTACCATTACAATCCCTCGACCCAGCATGTACTTGTGGACCAGCTATAGAGGATGATGCTCCAATTGCTGCATGTGATAGTTCGAATCACTTAGGCAGAACATATCATATTTGTTGAGCCTAAATGCCAACATAGAGCATGAATGAAAAAGAAAGTAGGCAGCAATTGATTGTTGCACCTGCACTGCAGTTCGCATCATCAACTCTGGTGTCAGAAGAATCAAATATGCCATGACAATGAGACCCCCTATCAGATGCAGATGGCGAGGTCTGGTTGAAGAACTTCCTCTTCTTAAAAGGATACATCCTCTGTGAGCTTTGAAGCATATAATTATCTCTACCAGTACTGTCATCTACAAGACAATAACAATAAATGGCATTGTCAATAGTTATTGAAGTATGCAATGGTATAGTCTGCATGCTCGACTTTGAAAGCTCAGAAGAAGGCTCACAAGACTTAATCTTGAATTAATAATCAACTGTGAGTAAAGATCTACATACCACTTCCATACAAACTCCCTTTCTTTGATTTTTTGCCTACATCACGACTTTTGGATCCAGAAACACTATTCACCCTTTGAAAAGGCATATCTGGCAGGGAGCCAGAATTCTTATTCTTAGAGCTTGGTTGAGTACACCTAACAAAGTTTTCATCATTATCTCTATTAAATAACTTCCTACCACTAGAACCATGTACGAGGCCCTCCAATGAAGGCTTCTCTACAGAATTTTCTGAACTCTCCCATTTAGAAGCCCTGTGATCAGGTTCTATCACTCCAGAAGAGCTGCCAGTAACATGAACAACTTTCTCATTCACACAATTCTCTTTTATTGGCCCATCTGCTTCCTTCTCAAAAACATTTTGTCCTTGACCTTCAAGACGATTGGCAAGAAAAGATGAACAGCCTTCAACCCTGCCAAGAGATTCAATGGAACAAAATAAAATACTGCTGAGAGATGGCAAAGTTTCTAATGCAAGCCATGAAGCTGATCTTTGAACTAAAATTTTCAATATTAAACAAGTATCCGTTCAACACATGCCTTTGGTCGTTGTGCTTCCCTTGCAAACTAGAGACCAAACCAGAGGCATTCTCACCGCAACATCCATGCTCAAAGAGGTCACTCTTAAAAGACCCTGCTTCTTCCTCTTGTTTATCCTTTATGTTAATTCCAACAAAACCAACAGGATCTTTCCCAGCCACAGCATTGGAGTTTTCATTCTCCTGCAGAAAGTTGCCAGCTACACTAGCCAAAATTTCAAAAGCTTGTATCTGATTGCCCTCACTCTTCTTCCTGACTGTACCCCTCCCCTATAACCATTTATTAAAGCTAATCAAATATCAAAACTTGGTCGATAGGCAGGATCAGAATAGTAGGACGATATAAATACCCTAGTTGTTCTTGAAGCTCTAGGAATGACAGGCACTTGATAGCCATTAAAACTGTAGTTCAAATTCTTCTGCAACACCATATCTCAGAAAATCATTACCGAAAGAAAAACTCATTAGATAAAATGCTAACTGCCTCCTTGAGTTTCATCGGCGTCCAAATCAGACCCTGCTAGAACAATGAAAAATTAATCTATATTCATATACATGTCAAGCAACGTATAGGGGTTTAGCACAATTATTCAGAACCAGTTTAAGTAGGATCATTTATTGTCAAATGCATTTTGACAAAAGGGAAGCAAAAGCAGAATACATCAAATGTAGGCACAAACAAGATATTGCAAGTTTAACTCGCAGAAAAGGAAAGAAGGCTACTTTTCATCGGTATGAGAATCAATTAAGATTGGTTGATTGCCAAAAGTACTTTTCAACAGTATGAGAATCAATGAAGAGATTGCCAAAGAAACGAAAAATAAATTAACAATATTCACACCAAAATTCAACGAATAAAAGCATGGCATATCAATGATGTTAACAAATAATTCTTTAACTCAAGGCTTTGCATGGTAAAGGAATTTGCAATCTTAAATTTTCCGGTGAAATAAAGTTGGATCCTCATAATCTAATAACGGGAGAGTCAGTCAAAAAGATATATATTAAAAAGAAAATTAAGGATATACATATATATATATATATAGAGAGAGAGAGAGAGGGAAGAAAATATATGAAAGGAAAAAAGGCAAAAGGAAGCAGAACTAAACGCTTACATGCAAACGGACACTAACATTTCATCCCATGTTAGCGACACTGTCAGCAGGCTTAATACTCGAGTGGATAATATGCCCTTCAGTTCCAAACAAACAAAGAATAATAAGAACAGAGGGAACAAAAATAAATTAGTAAATAAAACCGTTCGTCTGACTTTCTAGAATTAAACACGCAATTGCCAGAATTACGAGATAAAGGTCATTAAATCAAGCGATGGCAACAAAATCAAGAAGATAGAACACTCTATGGCCGCAGGATAAGAATGTTGCATTTTATTTTAAGAATCTGTTTCTAGGAATCGTCAGACCCCAGGACCCGCGTCAGGAGACCATTCCTGACATGTTAACAAAAAAATATTGCCAGTGTGTGTCTGTGTGTGAGAGAGATATGGAGGATGAATCAATTGTTAAACAAAGAAGATAAAGGAAGAGAAAAATATTGAATTTACAAGAAAATGAAACGAATCAGACACCAGGAATTGCAGAGGAACCAAAAAGAAATGGAAGAGAGAGATGATGCAATGCAAATTCAAATACCCTTTTGACGAAAAAGAAATGAAGAAACTGACTGATTGAATTGAAGCGGTAATAGTAACAATATTAACACCCCATGGATTTCAAACGGAGAATTGAAGAGTTTTGAAGGAACAAGAAGACAAATTTGTGCGCATGAAGAATTGTTCTTTCTGAGTAAATAATAATTCTCACCTAAAAAATTGGGCAGCGTCTGATCAAAAAACAAAAACCCCAAGAAAACCACCCGACCTGTGTTCCCTCTTAAACCCCCTCACAACCCCAAAGGAAATGTAAAATTGTTTGACCACTCATCTACGGGAACGGGACTAACCGGTAGCATCATCCACGCATACCGGCTATAGCAGGTTGTCTGAGTAAAAAGGGAAATGCACTCGGAGGACCAGTTCCTGCGTTGTGGGTGATCCACTCACTGCTCTAACAGCACTTGTCTGATTTACACGTGGAGGCCTCTCCACTCGTTTCTCTAAATCTTATCTCATTCACATAAATTCATCAATAAAACTTCCATTTTCTTTTTTGGATAATATTGGAGCTCCAGACTTTCAGGCTCCTCTTGACCATTTTTGCCCACGAGGCCCTGAAATTTTGAAACTCAATTGACGAACCATCATGACTCGGGTTCATCTCTTTTATTCTTTCTTTATGAAACACAAATTCTAAACTTTTCTTTGTTTTGTTCGGTCTCTTTCTCACTCCATTATGCGATATATAGGAAAAATACAAATGCTAAATTCATATTCCAGTAATTCAAAACTTCTGGACAAGGGAGGATACCTGAGAGGACTTCGCTATAACCATGCATCTAGTTATATATATATATATATATATTTATTTATTTATATCTACCATAAAACCATGTATGATGTATCACCGTTTTTTTTTTTTTTCCTTGGCCAACATGATGCATCATCTTTTAAAACTTAGATTCTCGATGAATTAAGCATTAAGATGATGCATGTTTCATGATGAATATAACCACAAACATCTCAGAAGCCAGTGTACGTTAGATGGGTCATACTTGAACTTTATTAATCCACGTACATGTTTTTCTTTTCTTCCAAGAACGTTGTGACTTGTGAATGAGATATGAACAAATAAATACTAATTAACAAGCCTAGAAAATATAGTGGAAAAACTGTTGATAGTTTGTGTACTTGTGTGCTCGTCTTTATTTTATATAACATCGAACATATTAGAATGCAAGCAGTTGATCTCTGAAAAAGAAAATCAATGTTTTTTAATATTCTAGGAATGACACATAATTAAGAGAGAAATAAAGCAACTCAAAAAACTAAAACCAGAAGATGGATTTGAAACATAGATAAAGAAAATCCTTTTATATATAATCCACTGGTTTCTATGAGACATTTAAAAAAAATTCTACATTTCCTCACATAAAGCATTAACGGATTTTTAAAGGTAATTAGTGTCCTTTTTCCTAAAATATTTGTCAGAAAATATTAAAATTACTTTCGTCACATTATTCTGCTCAATTAATATGTCCATCTCCCATGTAAAAATATGAACTACGACTTCATCACTGCCAACCTTGACATGTGTACGTTAAGTAAAAAGACCTTACATTCGAACGAAGAAAGCGCATTTGATGTGACTTCATTGATCAATAGTTTTAGAAGAAGAGCAAAGTAATGATGAGCGAGGGACTAAATGTTAAAAGGAATAAAATAAAGGGAGAAATAAATGCAAAACACATTATGTTTGGCGTAAATTAAAAAGGCATAACTGAGGAAAATAAAAACAAAACATAATATGCTGAGAATTGATTTGCATGAAAGGAAAGGTCAGAGCAAAGACAGAGAGGAGAGATATGGGGAAAGTGGAGTGATAAGGTTAAAGGACGTGTGGCGGGACATGAGAAGAGGAAAGTGAGTGAAGGCTGAAAAGGCTTATGATAGTGAGACTCGAAACGGATGGGTAAGTTTATCAATTCAATTAACACTTATTATTATTATTATTATTATTATTATTATTGAAAAGAGAGAATATTTAATTGCTTAGATTAGAAGGAGCCTCTCCTTTCAAGTTACAAACACTGGTTTTCCATTTACTCTGCCCACTTACACTTTGTGGTCCTTTCCTCTTTTTGGATCTCTCCCTCCCTCCCTCCCTCTCTCTCTCTCTACAAAAAAGATGCTAAGCATCTTGGTATATGCAAGTCCAGTGCCTCACTCGCCATCAGTATTATTTGAAATAGAAAATTTTTATTAAAAAAAAATATGAGTACCTGACCTCAATAAATACTCTCGTATTCTCTCTTACATAATATAATTATTGATTTAGTTTTATGGGAAAAGAGAAATGCAAGGAAATAGTGTGCTGGAAATCAATCAAGGTTTTGAAGAAGAAAAATTACTGAATTGAAGGGATTAGTTTTTCATAATTTGTTAGGAAGCACATTGACCTGTAAATTTATACTTCGTCGTATAATAATACTTCAACTATATTGAGCATATAAATTATGTCCCTTTGTATGTTCCATTTAAAAAGAAAAAAGAAATTATGTCCTTTTTGACCGATTTTTTTGGCTAAAAATATATTTCGATCTCTTTTATAACTTATAAGAAATAAATAACTGTTTCCTCTCAATATATTTGAAATTTAATTTTTCTCTCTAAAATGCACTTATTGATTGATTGTTTGATATGGTAGTTGGAAACTAAATTACACCACTCCTTTAATGATTTTAAAAAAAAAATTAATAAATGCAAGAGAAAATGGGTTGCTGTTTCATACATTTAAAACCTAGAAAAGACACATTTGTTTCTTATAAAGAGATCTTGACGGAATATTTTTTTATTCTTTTATGCATTTTGAGATCTGGATTGTTTTAATTTCAATTTGTAGCCTTTAGACTTTATTTAAATTTTTTTATCCTTTTAAATTGTATTTTAATGCATTTCCCATTTTCAAAATTACTCAAATATTTTACTAATATTATCAATTATTTTCTTGTGTGAAGCATCTGATATTCTGGGCACACCCCATATCAAGTGGAAGAGATTAAACGGAAATACAGATTAATCCGAATTAATTAATGCAAATGCTACAACTTGTCATGAGATTCTCTCACAAACATGAGCGATGAAGTAAAACAATTAAAAAAAAAAAAAAAAACAATGCTAAAGGAACAAAAGGCCACTATAATTCAAATTTCTTTCTTTTTTTCTTTTTTTTTTTAAAGTACAAACGGCAAGCATAAAGCTTGAAAGGACACCAAGACTACCACGAACTCTACAAAAAAAGCCACCTAAACATTACATAGAAAGAAAATAAAGCACGCACGAGGAATACACTACAACAGTCCATTACAAACAGAAGGCATTTCATGAAGAATGACAGTAACTTCGCCCACGCCATGAGCACTTCTCGCAAGAAAATCTGCCACTTTTAAGCTCTCTCTGTAAGCATGTGAACTATAATTCAAATTCCAATAATGGCACGTATAAGCGACATTGCATTACAAACTAACATAATCAAGAGTCAAGACATTATTAACCAACAAAGAAAGAATTACAGTGGACACATGTTCAGCATCCAAACCATGTGGATCAACGCACACCATGCGTTGCATACAATTGAAAAGTAAGGACTCCCAGGTAAGTTGTTTCACCTTTTTTTCTTCCCCCAATTACACATATTCTCCCGTGTGTTGCGCCTAATATAAAAAACAAGGAACACTATTTGTAGTGTGTGAATAACGATATATTTGCGTGAGTCAGCATGTGTCCATAATCCATGCAAGTTTACACACAAAATTCAAAGTGTTTATGTTTTGCGTTTGTGTCTATGCCATGTAATTATGTAAACATCGATGCTCTGTGGATTGAGAGATCAGTAGCAACCCGTTCTTTTTCAGCTAAGGAAAGCTAACCCTTCTTTCCCATACTGCCTGGAGATACATTCTGTATTACTAAAAGCAGTGGACGCAATTTATGCGTAAAATACAAAACAAGTATAACCAACCTCTTGTAGCTACGTACCCAAAACAAAAAAAAACCTCCTGCAGCTCTGCACCAGGACATGGTTAGCGTTAGCCTCTTTCCACTTCCAAGAACCAGTTCATTAGTACACATCCATATCCATCACCCCTGTCCATGCCTTTTGAGGAGGGCAAAAATGGATAAAACAAAGCAAGAATGAAAATATTCACATTGCGAACAGCATCAACGGGTAAACCATAAACAAATATGCATATTACTTAAACATAAAAAACTCACTGAACACTTGACAAAACTCATCTGATCATGCTTTTCATGTACTAAATGCCACACATGAAGATGGAAAGCACATAGACTCCAGAAATTTTTTTTCACCCTTTCCTCAGGAAATGGGCTTATCTGAGCAATGGTGAGCTTCAAGAGAACTAGCATAGCACCATCTTGTCTTCCGTGGTCAGATTCTTCAGGACCATTTCCCTAGTTGAATTCATTATTCACTTGTACCATAAGTGGCAACTTCCTTATATAAAAACTCGTGGAATTAATACACACACACACACACAAAATGTCCATATCAAACGTTAAAGGAACTTCTATAATACTCCTTTTCATTTGCTCAATGATTTGCTTACTAGCACATCAATGTGGAAGAATAAACTTGTCCTTAAACTTCCACCCAAACAAAAAAAAAAAAAAAAAACCTTGTCCTTAAACCCGGTGACAATAAAAGAAAGAAAATTTCAGACTTAGTTACTGATGAAATGAGTCCACTAGAAGATTGCCAGAAATTCTTTCTTTCCCCTTTTTTTTTTGGGGGGGGGGGGAGATTGCCCGAAATTCTTTTAAAACCAAATTGAACAAACTTTATGCAATCTGTCCTCAAAGACTCAAGCAACTACAAGTCAACTCAACAAAATATTGATGGACATTAAAACAAAATGCACCCATCGTGTATCATCTCAATAATAACACATAAAGATTCACTATGTGAGAGAGTGTAGTCTCAAACAAAATGGGTGTGGTTTTGCTAATTAAAATTATAAAGCAATAAGGTCCATGGTTAGAACATGCTCATTGGCATTATAAAGTAATTTCAAACAATGGCTAAAAGAGACGTGGGGTTACTTATTAACCATAGACTAGATGGTCAAGTGCACAGCAGAACAAAAAGCAGATATTAAATGCAAAAAAGTACAAACAAAATAACTTTTGTCGAAGAACCAGGAAAATATAGAAGTTAAAACCAGGAAAAGAGTGTTTTTTTCCCCAAGGAATTAAAGGAAAGGTTCAGACAAAGATCTCTATTAATTAACTCAGTCAAAATTTGTACAAGGTTACATTGTTGTGACACATTTCAGAAATTTGATTTTAAGCATCACCTGTAACACCTGGACAAAGCATATGAACAAAAATGTCAAATCGGTCCCAACATGAAACTATTCAGTTCTACAAGCAAAGTCAGCCCTTTTACCCTGCATGCTAGTTTAAAGAGAAATTAATAATTAACATAGGCATAAGCAAGTGATCGTTCAATCACACAGAAAGAGTACCTTCTAGTTTTTACTGCACCTGCTAGGTCTAAAAGAACCCCTTCGAACCTTGAAATGACTTCTGCAACAGTTTCATTCATGAGCAAACCCATACCTCTCGTGAGCGATCAAAAGATTTTTGCGAAACCCTCTCCCAAAAAGTATCATGCAACTTAAGGAAATTTAATTCAGAATAATTTTGGGCTTAATATCAACATAGGAAAGTGGCACCCAACCTTCTGCTAGTCTTTGATATCTAGAAGAGAACATGTTTCCAGACTATCATATTCTCTTGTTGAGCTTAGTAAATCCATAATGATTAAGATATGCTCACTTTGTGGATGAGACTGATCTCCAGCAACAAATGCATTGACTTGATCATTGACATCAATCCATGACCATCCTGGCTCCTTTATTACACCATTTGACCTCATCAGCTTCCTTATCTGTGCAACTTCATTCCATATTCCCTTGGCAGCATATATATTAGCCAGAGTGATGTGAGTTCCAGCAGAATTTGGATCCAAGTGAAGTATCTCTTCTGCTGCTCGCCTTCCACAGTCAACATCCCCATGCATCCTACATGCTCTAAGTAAGGTAGACCACACAACATCATCACCTTGAAATGGCATGCTTCGTATCATAAGCTCAGCCTCACTCAATCTCCCTGCCCTGCATAGAAGATCAATCATACAGCCATAGTGTTCTTTTGATGGATTGATTCGATACTCATTTCTCATTAAATTAAAATAGTGAAAACCAAGACCAACCAGTCCAGCATGGCTACAAGCTGTCAGAACCCCAATGAAAGTCACAGAATCTGGTTTTAAACCGTACCAGAAATCTCCTCAAACAAATTGACAGCCTCTTGACTGTATCCATGCTCAGCATACCCATTTATCATGGCTGTCCAAGATATAATGTCATTGGTTTTTGACCCATAAAAAATCTTTGAAGCTTCTTGAAGACTCCCACACTTCGAATACATATTGATCAAAGCACTCAGAATCATGACTTCATGATCTACCCCAATACACAAGACATGAGCATGCACTTGCTTTCCTTGCTCAAGAAGTGCCATACTCCCACATACACTTAGAACGCTAGCAAGAGCAAATTCATTGGGCCTTGGTCCTTCCCTTCTCATCCATGATAGATATTCAAAAGCCTCTTTCCCATAACCTCCTCGGGAATAAACTGAAATTATAGTGCTCCAAGAAACAATATCTTTTCTAGGCATACCGTGAAAAACTAATGAAGCTGAAGTTAAATGTCCACATATTGAATACATAGTCATGATGGAATTTGCCACTGACAATGCATCTGCCAGTCCTAGACGCAATACATGAGCATGTAACTGTTCTCCCCATTCAATAACAGCTAGATTTGAACAAGCAGAAATTACTGCAGACAAAGTGTATTCATTGGGACTGACATCTAATATTATCATTCTTTTAAATGCTTCCACTGCATGTTCTTCTTGACCCATTTGTACATATGTCGTAATAATGGTAGTCCATGAAACAACATTTAGCACACTCATTCTTTCAAACAATCGAAAGCCACAATCTGGTTTTCCACATTTATTGTACATCGTAGCAAGAGTATTAATCACATATGAGCTCTCATCAAACCTTTGTTTTATGGTTTGAGCATGAATAGCTTTCCCATCAAGTAAGGAGCCTGCATCAGCAGATGCTTTTAAAGCAATGGCAAATGTGTATGAATCACATCCCACTTTTGATTTCCACATTTCAGAAAAGTATAGCAATGCCTCTGTACTGTGACCACCATGCGCAAGCCCCACTATTATGGCAGTCCATGATATTACATTTCTAGTTGTCATTTCTCCAAAGACTCTACAACCTCGCACTATTCGTCCTACTTTCATGTACATGTCTAGTAGGGCACTACCAACAAAAACTGATTTTATCAAACCAGATTTCACTGCATACCCATGCAGTAATTCTCCATAATATCCGTTCATGCTGGCTGCACAAGCCTTGAGTACAACACTAATCACAAATTGGTCCATTTGAAGTCCTGGTTGGATCCTCATGTTTGAAAACAATACCAATGCTCCTTCAGAATCTGAAGCATTGACATAACCAGCAATCATTGTAGTCCAAGAAATTTCATCTCTGTGAGGCATTTTATCAAACATGTCCCTAGCTTCAACCAAGTGACCTCTTTTTACAAGATGCTTCAGTTCAGAGTTTAGTTCAAGCATGCTCGAATTACGAATGGAATATACAATTGATGGAAGTTGTGGTTTTATTTGCCAGACTGGGTACCTGCATGTAATGCCAGTTCCTGCAATAGAATTATAATTGTCTTAGAGCAGCCAAGGACAGCACAGGTTTGACATACAACACAATATGAACACCATGACAACATAACATATGCATGTAGCATCATAGTGCAGTTTATGCATCATGGCCAATGCAAGCCATTTTATAGGTATCGGACTACTGTACAAATGAAGCACGATGACAAAAACTCACCTTGGTACGCTGATTTGGCAGAATTATCAAGGTTTTTTGATAGCTGAAGTTGATCCATAGCTGGAGAAAATGAAGGGGCAACGGCGAATGCAGAGGAGGCATATCTATAGTGCAGCCATCGCCTGAAGCCATAGAAGAGTACCCCAAGGAAGTATCTTTGCTCTCTTTCTAAGTTGTAATTGAGATACCCAATTAGCCCACACATATCTCCTTATCTGTCTCCTTCCAAAATTTCTTCCTTTTCACTTCGAAAACGTGTGAGAATCATTTTATAAGCTCAATTCCTTCACAGTGCGAGAAGAGAAAGAAGAGTCCAACGCAATTGGCCAGAAAGAATTTTTTTTCTTTTTTTTAACTTTGAATCAAAAGGCTACGGTTGAAACCATGCACAGATTAGTGCATCAAGTCCTGAGCCCTTGACTCACCCTTCTATTAGCAGCCAAAAACTCACTAGAACCTGCAGGAGGTTCATTCAAAATAACAAAAAAAGAGAAAATACAATGTTCTTCACTAGCCAGCCAGTTAGCACTTGCGTTTGACTCAATGAATTTGTACTCAATAGCCGCCCACAATTCTCTCCTCATCAAATCTCCGATGTCCATAATAATGCAAACTTTCTGGAGAACTGAAGGGGAGTAAACTGTGAAGAGAGGAGGGAAATGCCTGAAGCCACAAAGGGGAGGAAAGAGAACTAGAGAGGAAAGCAGAGCCAAAGTGAAGAGAGTAGAGCCACAACCCCACCGCTGTCCATAACATGAACACAAAATGAAGAAGGAGAGGAGAGCAAGTGAGCAATGTTAGAACTTAGAGGAGACCATGTGGGAGGGCAAGAGACATTGTTGCAGTGGCACCTAACTCGGACAAGAATGAGACACTGGTGTGGCATCTAAAGAAAGAAACAAAAATTAGGGCTTAAGTATAAAATAAAACTAATCTTAGTCAATTAGAGATGGGAAATGAGAGGGCCACCCTTATAAGTTTAGGCTCATAAGCCCAATTTCTCTAAACTTGTCCGTCTTCTTAACCTCGTCTCTTGCTGAAAGAGTTGAGTGCTAGGCTTGTCAGCCGATTTAAAAAAAAATAGCATTATAATATTACAAAATAATTAAAATATTCTATAATTTAAAATAAAACAAACAAATCAAGTGAAAGAGCAAGCTAGAGCACAATAAACCACATGTGAGTACCAAAAAACTTCCTCTGTCTCAAATTATAAGACATTTTTAAATAAAATTACACATACCAATAAAACTTATTAAATAAATTTTTCAACCTTACTTTTTTAAGACAAAAAAATAAACATTCAAAAATGCTTTCCATTTAATGCTTCATTTGTAAAAGAATGTTAAAGAGAGAAAAAAATATATGGAAGAATAATATTAAAAAAACACCGTTAATGAAACCTTATTTTTGTCAAAGTATCACCAAATCTCTCACAAAAACGTTTTATAATTTAGGACGAAGGTAATGGTTAGGACATGGAAGCAGAGGACAATCAATGATGGAAAATCCATAAGAACTGCCACATGGAAGGTGAATACACTTGAATAAAACAGAATATTTTAAAGAGAAAAGTTCCCTAGTTTTCCTCCATAATATCAGCACAAGGATGATTACCAGTATTTTCCCTCAGCGATAAATTTAGAACCTGAGCATTATCAAATTGGACAATCACATTCTGGTTTTAGCATACCTCTTGCCCACTGCATCAATAATAGGTAGAATTGTTCCATTAGCATTATAGAATGCAGAAAATAAAACTCATCAACAGGTATTAGATTTGGATGATTTAGACAGTATCCTAAACCACAGAGAAAATAAAATCATCTATTCAAGAGATGATTTTATAAATCATGCTAGTGCTACATCCATCCATTGCAACACATTGTAATACTTACAAGTCCTCCCACTTTCCTATACTGTCACCACATTAATTTAGCTTGAATTACGCATAATCAAGATTCCGACCAAAGTCTGAATGATGTCATTCACAGTTAATATACATATACTTCCTCGAGTGGTGTCATTCACAGTCAATATTTGTAAGCAGACAGACACGTGCAACTCACTTCTACTCTTCACAGTTATTGTTCTCTTTAAATCTACATTAATCAGTTACGTTTATAGCTCCAAATAATCAAATTATTTGTCACAAAAATTATGAATTAAAAACCAGGCTAATTATGAGACACAGGATTCATCCATGACAAGCTATACTCTCTGTTTTAGTATAGTTTACAACCTGTTTGGATTGAGCAATTAATCGATTTTTTGGATCGATTAAGGAAGAATTTACCCAAACGGCCAAAAATGAGGTAATCGATTAATGCAGTTAAAATCGATTTTTGGGTTTACCTGCTTATCTAATTCTAAAATCGATTAAAGCGGGAGAAGAAGGTCCGTGGCCTGCGCGAGGAGACAGCGAAATCGTTGCCGACCCATATGGCAGCGATTTCAACGCGAGGGAGCGGTGTGACCGTATAGCCAGTGGACAACGTTGGAACGGTTGTTGGCGGGGGGGAGACCAAACGGTAGGGAACGGTGAGGGTCAGAATCTTGGAGAAGGAGAGAGTTGAGGTTGAGGGAATAAAGGGCAGAGGGAATCCGGCGGGGCAACGGCGAATGGGAGTCGTGGGTGACGCCGATGCAGGGTGGGGAAGATATAGTTGGGACGAGAGAGAGAATGAGGGAGATGGAGTTATTTATTTACGTAATTTAAATTATTAATATTAATATTAATATTAATTAATATAATTTGAATTTTTATAATTAATCATACATATAATTTAAATAATAAATTTAATAATATTAGATACAAATTTATTAATAATTTAATTTTAAAAAACAATGTTCTTTATGATAATTTGAACAGCTAAAATTAATTCTGACTAAATTATTCAAATATCTTCAATTTTATTAAAATTAATTTTAAAAAAAGTATTCAAATATATTGCTTTATAACATAATCAATTATAATTAAAATTAATCATATTAATCAATTATTTTTATAATTAATTATACCTAAATGAAATTTAAATGGGATCTTAATCATACCGCCCCTATCAAATTCCAACTAAAAATATTTTGACATTGGATAATTCCAATAATTCTCTTCACATAATCAGTTTGATATAAAGAGTAAGTTAAACTATAAGAAATTCTCCTAAGGTTGACAAATAATTCATTATCATTTTCTCCCTAAAATGTCACAGGCAATGAAAATATTTTATTTTCTATTATCTCCACTCAAATTTAATCATTGATTTTGTCACGTTTTAAAAATAAGATGTGACTTGTATGGAATATAAAACAATACTCATATACTAAAAGTTTTAATTCAAAAAACTCTAATTTCTAATCCTTAGATACATAATTAACATAATTAGATGATTTTACAATACTTTTTATATAAATTAAAATTTACCAAATTTTTACTAAAATTTCAGCAAAACTTCCCATAAGAATAAAACCTCCAGAAATTTTGACATCATCAATTTGCAACACCAATTCAACAAAAGGGAGCTTTACTCCTCAGCAACAGACAAATAGCACAGTATAAAAATCAAAATTTTAGTTATAATTTATGTGAAGCGCCTAAAATTAAATTTTATAAAATATAATACAGGGATTTTAAGTCTACATTTCAAGAAGTTTAATCTACAGTTATTCACTTCAATTGGATGCTACAGCTTCTCAATGATCAGTAGTGGGTACAACTTCAATTAATGCATTTGAGACTAAAATAATAATTTTTAGTGAATAACGTCCCAATAATACTAAAATTTAAAGGAACAAATTGAATAAAATTAAGCAATTATATAAACAATTGGAAAGATAATGATACAACATAATATGCTTATTAAATCTTGGAATCAAATATCCTAAACCATTTAGTAAGATTGAACTAAAATACTCCATCTTTAGTTTTTGAGGAATCAAATGATTTATCTATGAATAGAATAGGTGGAATACTTATTAATTGAAGCAAATAAAATTTAAATGCACAAGTCAATTAAACGTTCAAAATTTTGAGAATTTAACATGACAAGTAACAAACATGAACACATAGTACATGAGAATAAATAACCAAATGCGACTTATGTCACGAAAATAAATGTAAACACAAAATTTACGAGGGCAAGAAACTAAATGTGGCCGAAGTCACGAAGACAATTGTGGACACACAATTCACAAAAATAATACTGGCCAAATGAAAGTTGAAGCCATGAAATCAAACGCAAGTACAAGATTCTTAAATAACAAATATGAGAACAAAGCCTACAAAAATGAACTAGCTAGTAATTACCCTTAGTGCACTAAGGATTAATAGAACTGTCGTTAGCAATCAGTGTTTTGCTTATAATCCTTTAAAAATTACTTTTCAAATATGCAAGAAAATAATCACTTGTTAAGATACAATTTTCTCTTCTCAATAACAAACTCACATGAATTGTTTTAAAAATTTAATATTTTTAAATATGAAAATTGACAACTAATTTTTTATAAACTTCTTCACCAATTTCCACAATTATCTTTATCAAATAAAGAAGTACTAGAACTTGTAAAAGCATTTTCGTGAATCTTATATGTTATGATTTCAAGAAGTAAAGAAATTTAATTAATTAAAGTAATCAGTGCTAGAGAAAAGAATACTAATAATTGTAATTTGTTGAAAATAATATTTTGATGAAAGGAAATTTGTTAATATATAAATTGATTTGGGATATTATCCATTTACATAATAGATTCTAAAGTTTAAAGTTCACCTCTTACAACTTCAATCAAATTATCCCTTTGTATTTGTAACCTTAAATAATGAATTTAATCATTTTTGGATTGTCTTGGCCATAAAAGGGTCCAAACCCCTAATCTAACTATAGTAGTGTGCCATGATAGTTTAAACAAGTATATCTTGACAAGTTAGATAAGTTTAAAATGTTTTGAGTGATTATTTAACTTGAATGTAAATAATTACATTTTCACCCTCTTATTATATGCCTTATGGTAGTTGGGTGGTCAACTCTTATATTAAGAGTTGTTTGATACTTGTGACTATTTAGACAAGTATATTAAAATTTATTGAGCATGGTTCAAGCTCTTATATGGACTAATGGCTTATAGTTTGAAATTTGGACACTTAGTTGATGATTTAGAGGCAAAAATGTGAAATTGTGGTTTTGGGTATCCAAATTCTTAATTTGATGTCAAATTGACATGAAACTAACATCATTAGCTAGATTATGATATTTTTGATGCGTGGGCACTTAAATTACCTTAATCAGAGATCTGAGTCAAAAGTTATACGTGATGAAAGTTTATAGGTGGTAGTTGTCATGACAGGTGCCATCATATCTTTGACCGCAGCTTATAGATTGGTGGCGGTAGCCAATGGAGTGGTCGAGGCCATTTCGCCATAGCTAAAAGGGAATTAGTTGCAGCCAAATATTCTCTGGAAGTATCGACCACAACTTAATGTGCTCTGGCCACTGCTAAGTGCCTCTGTTAAACAAAAATGACCTTTTTGACTTGTTTCAACTTTAAATGTTTTCCATGCTTCCCAAATACTTTTTAATTTAATTTATAATAGTTAAATGATATTCTAAACTTAGTTTTAAGATTGAATGATTTATAGGATTTCATCTTTACAAGTTTTTTGCACTTAACCTTATGAGTTTTTAAATAACCAAAGTTGATCCTTTTATGCCATGATATCTTTTATTATTGATTAAATTAGTTGTAAATATCATGATAGATCTACCTTAAAGTTAAGTATGTGCTAATTATATATTTAAAAAATGAAGATTTTATAGTGATCGTGGAGGTAATTTTTTTATGTGCCAATATCCTAGTCATATTATGGTAAATTGCTATTATCACTATGATCGCTCATTTCAGTTTCCATCTAACTATACTTCTCCTTAAGCCTACTATTCCACTCCTTGCATAGTGAATGATTTGGCTTGGTGCATGGATAGTAGTGCCAACTATCATGTTACCCTTTCTACTGATTAGCTAGATAGTGTTAAGCATGTGGTTAAGTCTTATTTGATAACATGTATTGGTGAACACACTCCTATTAATGCCGTTAGTTATTCTAAGCTTCTGTGTGCTAATGCTAATCTTCATTTTAATAATATGCTTGTTGTTCCTTCTACTACTAAGAACTTGCTCGACGTTAATAGATTAGTTTATGATAATCCATTTGATATGTTATTCACTAATAGTGGGTGCCTTATAAAGGACAACAAGACAAATAGGGTGTTAATGGCAAGAATGCCTCATCGGGGAATGTACCTAATGCAACAATAGGATCCACCTCAAGCTCACATTACTTAAGCTTTTTCTCCACCACCTTAAGCTTTTATTGTTGATTTGAATGAATGGCATCAAAATTTAAGACACCCATGTGATAGAATTTTGTGATAAATTTTGAATAATTGTCATTTGAAAGTAGATGTTAATGAGAAATCTTTTGTGAAGCTTATCAATTTGAAAAATCAAAACTACTTCCATTTGCTTAATATGTTTCTCATACTTCAGCTCCTCTTGAAGTAATATATGCTAACTTTTGAGGTCCCTCTCCTACTCAATCTATTCATGATCATCAATTTCATTTACATTTTCTCGATGATTGAAGCATTTACACATGGATTTATACCCTTAAACATAAAAGAGAGGCTATTAATGCATATAACCACTTTAAAAATTTGGTTGAGAATTAATGTAGCACAAAGATTAAGAGCATTCAAAGTGACATAGGAAGTGAATATAAACCATTTATTCTTGTTGCACAAGAACATGGTATTAATTTGAGATATACGTGTTCTTATACATCACAACAAAACTGTCATGTAAAGAAGAATTATCCATATATTATAGAAACAAGCTTTACACTTCTAGCTCAAGCACATGTGCCTCTCACATATTGGATTAAAGCTTTCCCAGTAGCTGTTCGTCTAATTAACGAAATGCCCATACCAGTTTGAAAGGCTAGATTCCTCTATTTCACTTATTTAAAATACAACTTGATTACAAAACTCCACAATTATTTGAATGTGCTCATTACTCGTGTCTTAAATCATATAATGGTCACAAATTTCAATTTCAAAGCCAAAAGTGTGTATTTCTTGGCTATACTTCACAACAAAATGACTACAAATGTTTGATTTCTACCAACGATGTTTATACTTCCCGACATGTTGTTTTTATGCTTATGTTTTCCCTTTTGCCATAAGGTTCCTAAATTGGTAAAGTTCTGATGATTTGATGGTCTCAAGTATGCCATTTACTATATTATCACCATCTTATGTTTCTTATCAATCTATAATCATAGCTGAGTCTATTGATAAATCATCGTCATCATCTCTAGTTATGCCTCCTCATACATTTACACCTTTTAATTTCATTTACCCAGTCATGATGGCTGATGTGTCATTAAATCCATTTACTATGGCTACATCTCTATCTTCATCTCCTTACATGATAGCATTCACTAGGGCAAAGTGTGGTGTTTTTAAGCCTGAGCATTTAGGTGTCCTAAATTAGTTATAAAATATGACTATTTGTATATGGGTGTCTAAATTTTACATACGATGCTTGATCATAATGAAACTTGTACCATTAGTTAAATGATCAAACAAGCATTGCTTGGACGATTGA